TTCACATTTTAAGATTGTAAAAAACCAAACTGTCAGAAGAAAATAAAAGACATCTTATCTATACAAAGGCATGAAAGGACGTCCGACAACCATACCTCTGGAGCCATCCACCGATACGTTCCAGTTTCTGCTGTCATAACTCCAGTTTGTGCTTTCACCCTGGCTACCCCAAAGTCTGCAACCTTAACCACCTGTAATAACAAAATAAAACACCACCATGAATCCGCAACTATATATATCTCTGTCCCCAAACGCCAATTCATACATTCACACTACCAAGCAACTCAGTGTACAAGGTGTGTTGAGAATATTACCTCATTTTCGTCCATTAAAAGGTTGGCAGCCTTCAAATCTCTGTGAATTATGTTATTTTGGTGTAAGTAGCTCATCCCTTTGCAGATATCTATAGCTACTTTAAACAGAGCTGGAAGCTTAAAGACGCCCTTTTGCTTGTGTAAATAGTCATATACACTTCCACCACGCATGAATTCTGTTAAATGTGAAAGAGACAAAGACGGGGAACGAAAAGTAAAATAAGAAGCATAGAACATGATATCAAACGAATAATACGCATAAACATGGTCACTGCAATATACCTGTAACAATACACAGATGTGGCGGCTTGGTGCAAGCACCAATGAACTGAACAACATTTTTGTGCCGAACTTTCCTGAAATCGGAGAGATTTTTAATGATATCTTACTCATCTGAGATACCATTGTTTATCTGCACATAAGTTCACAAGGGAATAGACAAGAAGCCACACAAACCTCATTATAAAGACTTCTTGGGCAAACTCTTTCTCTAGCTCAGAATCTAGACGCTCTGGCTTGAGGACTTTGATAGCAACTTCCTGACTACAGTATGTACCTTTATATCTGAATTATGCAAGAGGTAAGGAGAAAGAGGGAGAGAGATTAACATCTAAGCATCTTAAAATGACAACGCATTTGATAGATACAGTAAACTTACAGATCTCCATAAGAACCAGATGCTATTTTAAGCCCAAATTTTAGGTGTTTGAGGTTAATTTCCCAAACATCAGTTCCATCATTGGGTATTTCAACATGATTTTTTGCCGTTCTGGTAATTGTTTGCCCGTTTTCCTTTTCAGGAGAGAAGGATTGCTGCATCGGCCAGCTTTGGCTCTGCAACTGAATACGATGAAAGGATCATTAATAACTTACAACAAGACATGAAGGTGAAATGTTGTCAATATGAAAAAAATGCAAGGCTACATACAAAGCACCCAACTCAAATTTATTCAGAATTAATTGCTTCGCAAGGAAAGAGTAGTCAATAGATCATAAATCTCGAAACATTATTTGCAACCGAAAACAAGTACCTCGATCTTTGCTGCTTCTTTCTCCAATGCTATTCTAAGTCTGTCTACTTCCTGAATAATTTTAAATAGTTGCGCTTCAGCTATTAGATCAGTATATGATTGAAACAATAAAGCAAAGGAATCCATAAACAGAGATATAGTACACTACATGAGAGTGTTGCAATGGCAAAGGAAAAGGGAACATGACAACAGCAAAAAGTACCTCGTATGGCCAGCCATCAACAACAAAAACATCTAGTGAAAAGCCATCGGTTGTAGAAAAAGCATGTGCCTCTTGAATGTTCAGCTCAAGCTCAGCAAGCAATGCAGTCAACTGCATCATTTACACTAAATTATGCGGGATCTGAAGTTCATTGAGAATCTTATCATGCCAAATTAGCAAGAAACGATAAATTCTCTTACTTTTTCGAAATTTAGATTGAAAAGCATTAGTTTATGTAACTCATTTGACAATAACTTCATAAAACAGTTTGCTAAACCGATTTCTTCCAAGAAACAAACACTTATCATATATACCTGGAAAAGGAGTTTAGGCTTGTCTTCTGTGGAAAAAGTTATCTCATGCAAGGGCCTGCATTTGAATCGACACGGTGAGTTTGAGTTTGAACCGTTCTTGCATTTCCCTATGAAGAACGTGAAAGTACATACCGTGAATACAGTGAATTGTTACGCACAGAGTTGTCCCCCTCCTCGTCTTGGGATCTACTTGCTGCAAGAGCAAGTGCTTCAAGATTGGGCGATGAACCAAAGGCAGGAGGCGGATGAACGCTGGAAAAGATGAATCAAAATCAGAGGTTGAAACAGACTCGAGATACTTGGTTGCTTTTATAGAATGTCAAAGAAAAAAGAATCGGCTAGCCTCAAAGGCGAACCTTTTTCTGGTAGAGAGTCTAGGAGAAGTTTGATCATCATCATCGTCGATAGAGTCCAAGGTATTGGAGTCAGCTGAGATTCCCGCGGGTTGAACCTTAACAAAAGATCAGTCCTGTGAGCCCACACAACCAAAAGTTCACAGAAGCAAACATAACATATCAAAGATGGGGCCATGGAATCAGAACAAGCAACAGAAATATGCTGCTGAATCTGGAGAAATCTCAAGAATTGATTTGAATTATGCTTAGGCTTCTATATACAGTTTAG